CTATTCGTGAGACGTCTATATTTGTAGGCTATCAAAGCGCTAGGGCTCCCGATGTCTGTAACGTACATACGGACGTGTTGTACGTAGGTACAGAGCCTGCTTGCTTCCTGATGGGACCGCTGCAGTAATACATCCTCCTCCTCCTCCTCCTCCTGTTCAACTTGTTGGCGATGTGCTTGGTCAGGCACTTATATTGGCTGCCAGAGCCCCGCATGCCGTCAACCGCTCCACCGATGTTGAATGTTGGAGTCTCCGCTCCACTGTTGAATTGCTATTTTAAAAAATGTTGAGTTGTTGAATACTTCTCTTTGTCCCCATATGGGGGCACAACCCGTTCCGGAGTGATTTTGTCTGACGAATCTTAGAAATCTATATATAATACATAGGCAAGATTAATTAACCGTTCTTTTAGGTTCGGATCAACCCTCTCTCCGGACCGGTCAACCGGTTTCCCTCGTGACCCTAAACTCTGCCCGCATCAACAAACTATCGATCGGAGAGGCTTGATCCGAACCTACCGTTCTTTAAGCAAATGGCCCGCGATTCTTTGGGTTTGTTTGGCCTTTTCTCCATTTACCCAACCCCTTCCGTCTTCCTCTGCTTTTTGGCCTTGGGTTCCTCTCGCTCTCTCCCACGTCTCTTCATGCACCTTTCCCAGCTGACCAGGTGCAGCATTGATTAAATGACACCGCAGCCCGGGCGGAGGCCACGCAATGGCGGCACTTGATAGATTATCCATTCTCTTAACGACATCTCCAATCTCTTTGCGCGCATCCCCTTCAGTATTATCCCCATAGCTCTTCCTTTTCTCCATCCCTTTCCAACTGCCATTTGGCAGTCCCACAAGCGTGCAGAATAACTACAGCCTTTCCCCATCTGTAGCTGTTTTATCCCACATTCCATTCCACAAGACACATTTCCTGACGCTGCGCTGCTGTGCCGCAGGCCAAAAAAAAATTGCCCTATTTGCGCCCTCTCTCGACCGCTCAGTCGTTAGCGCTCGCCGCACACGCTTATTTAGAATAGTCGGGACTCTTTTACACCGGAAATATTTTCACTCTGAATGGCAGAACCCCTTGATAACATAAGATTTCTTTCTTTTTCCAGCCAGACACGCAACACACCCAATAAATGTAAGACACCCTTTATACCATACAGCCTCCTTTGCATTTGGGGTGTAAAATATCTTGAGAATGAAGTTGACTCCTACTGCGCTTGGAAACGACGGAGAAATTTTAGGAAGTCCTCAAAAATAAATAAAAAAGACATTGAGATGTCCTCCTCATCAGAGACAATATTACATAAACAGGCCTGCTTGGGGCCAACACGTCACCCAAAATCCCTATATGCCATGTATGTATCCGTGGTGCGAAAAATTCTCAGCGGGCCAGTTTAGTCAATTCACCATCACTGACCTTCATTAGGGGCAGTCAGAGTAACGGGTTTCGGACGGTTCTGCAGTCGGTTCTGTCGACGGTTCTCAAAATTGATTTGGATCAAAACTTTGACAGAACCGACCAGAACCGACCCCGAATCCTGACCGACCCTTTTTGAAAGGCGGTTCTCGAGTCGGTTCTCATGTAGAAGTATTATCCCGCACTTCTCCATTTTTTAAAAAAAAAATACATTCAATTAAACACCCCCCTCCTTGGTATATTCTACACATCCACTGGCTCCTCTGGCTTGATGGTCGGCGCTGGCAACAGACAGCTTGTATTCCCAGGACGGCCACGCGGCTCGAGGGATTTTTTTTGGCTTCCCTATTTTTTTTACAAGCCTCAGTGGCGGCGATGGCGGCACATTCATAGGGGACGTGTTTGCCAGACGCCATGTACGGATACGGCGACTGGATGACTCCGAACTATGTAATAATACTCAGCAAATAAATATTATTAATGAGAAGAGAGGCGAGAGAGGCGGAGAACCGGAACCGTCTGCAGAACCGCCTCCAGAGTCGGTTCTGCATTTCGAGTCGGTTCTGATTTATGGACGGTTCTCCCATGCTTTAATAAATCGAGAACCGTCGACAGAACCGACTGTCAGAACCGTCCAAAATAGTTACTCTGACTGCCCCTATTTGTTTCGGGAAAACTTTGCTTGAGAAAGAAGTAAAGAAAATTTTCCTGGGTTGCAAAGGGATTCAGTCCACTTCTAAGATCCTTCATCCACAGATACTCCATTGCCTTTGCTCAAAACATAAGGTAGACCCCATCCACCCTCGACGAACGTCACGTGGTATTTCCATATTGGGCCACCCCGATGAAAAACGATGAATATTGGCACAGTAAATGGAGTTGAGGCAAATCCCTTCGACAAGATTTTGTATATACATATCACACGACTGTAGCCAAAAACTTGGGACTTCCCGGGTTTCATGGGTTTGTAAATTAACGCTGTTCAGCGAGCGATGGATCACATTAATCCCATCAAATCAATTGATCTGGACATGAATTGGCTAATTCCAAGTCAGAGAAGACCTCTGAGCCATCAACCTTGTACCCACGACTGCATTTAGCCCATACCTAAAATCTCGTCAGAGGATTTGGTTCAATTGGAGCTGTGTATTATTTTATAGATTTATCTAATCGAAAATTGCGGAATCACGTGACGTTCGTCGAGGGTGGATGGGGCCTACCTTATTGATTCTGGGTGTTTGTTCTATGATGCCCGCGAATGGCACCTGTCGTTCATACTTCCGAAATGATCGGAGTTCTACACACTTACTACGCATTCTACCTACCTCCCAATGTGACTGGCTGGACTCTGGAGAATATGTCAAATACTGTAGAGTTTCGTTCAATTCGGATGTCACGCGTCACAGGCCTCAAAATATTCGAATATTTTCGTGCATGTCACGGGTCAGCGAGGGGATTTTCGAATGTGCAAAAGAAGTCACAAAATCGGCGAAAAAGGCCCCAAAAATCCAAATTTTCGCCCCGTGCGTGCAATTTATTTTCAAAAGTGTGCGCTCTGTTGGAATGATGAATTTGAAGCCGAGCGCGTAACATTTACTAAATCCAGGTCGAATTTGTGAGAAGACTCGGTGTAATTTGCAGATTTCTCTGAAAAAATGCCGGAACAGGGCTGAGACCCTCCCAAATCCCAGGTTTCGAACACAACCAACTGAGTACAAGGACTGCCAATGGATTGAGGATTTACGAACTTTTTTTGCTGTCACGGTCGGATCGACCCATTTTCGAAAGGTCAAGTTCGAAAATGCGGGTCACGCGTCACAGCTGCGGAGAATTGAACGAAACTCTACAGTATGTGCCAAATACGACACTTCAGAGGCATCTGATGCTTGAAGGCAGGCCAAATCTGGGAATTTCAACATCATTTTCTCTTTATTTGCAAATGGGGACCAACCAGGACCAACCATGGCACTCTAAAGCCTCGTTCTGCTTAAAATATGACCTTGAGCCCTAAAATCCGAACCCGAACCCCTAAGCCCGAATCTCTAACCCAAACCCGGTCCGACCCACGAGTCTGAGTGTCGCATTTGGGTAAGCCCCATCCCACTGATATCAACATATGCGCTCCACTGCAGTAGAGAGAATCCGGTTAGCTCGTGCCATACAGCCCTGGCAAACCATGGTGACCAGTAGAGGCCCCGCCGGCGCACCGTCACCGAATTTGAAGGCGGAGATGAAGTTATCCATCGCCCCATTGTTCCGTGTTATGGCAATAATTTTTGCTATCTGTGCTAGACCTGTGACCGATCTCTCGTATGAAGATAATCGTTCATAGAGAGACCAGTCGATCTGGTTTGAATTCTCAGGAACCCCGATCAGTCACGTTTTGATCACAGAAAAATCATCGAAAAAGCGCAAACCCGACAACAACGATACAATAAAATATAATTAGCACCTAAACGACCTCCAATGGTCTCAAGGACTCAATTAGCACCTGAAATTCAGCCCGTTAACTGGTACACATATCGGAAACACACACTTGAGGCTGATTTGCAGTAACTTTGCCGAATGGACTCGGAAGATGCATATTTAAACAGATACCCACTCTGATCGGTCCTCCTCCTCCTAAGGATTTAAACCCAGATCGACCGGTCTATATCTGTGCGCCTGCCGTTCAAGTTGTGTCCTCCTTTAGATCTTAGATTTTCTACTGTGTCATGTTCCGTAGCGGAGCCAGTGCTGGTTCACGACAGAATGCCTTCCCTTCTTGAATATGACATCTTTGCGCAATTTCCTATGCGTCAACTCAGTAGAGGCCTTCAATTTTAAATTTTAGGGTGAAGTTCGCACACTGCGCCGCTACCCAGGACATACCTTAATGGAAGTATCTGGATCAAATTGTGTCCCGAGCAAGAAACAAAAATCCAAACCCGGTCCCGTCCTATGACAATAATTCCGCGCAATAAAATAGATAATCTATCCGTGTTCAAATAAAATATACAACGTTTGCAAAATGAAAGACCAAGCCTTGATTCGAACAAGGGACTTCCTCATAGCTTTGAACGCTGAGAGATACGAAGATAGGATGTACTAGCCGCTGCACCCCGGGCCTTATTTTCCCCCTAATTTCGTCGTTCAATTCATGAAGCTAGCGAGTGGGAGGATGTTTTACCAGCTACATCACCGGGCCTCACATTCCCTCAAATATATGTGGTTCGATTGATCTATCCATTCAGGTTCAAATATTAAACTCGACAGCTGTGGCCTTGATTCAACAAGGACTTCCTTGTAAATTTACAGTATAGCTAAAAGCCAGCAGAGGATGTGTTACTAATTACACCACCAGGCCTTACATTCCTATGAAATTTTGTCGTTGAATTCATCCACCGGGAGTAAACATGAAAATAAAATGGACAAAGCGGGTAAAAGTGAAAGGTCTTGGATCGGACAAAGGACTTCGTAGGATTCATTTTACACAGGAGTTATCGAGAGAGAATGTGTTTCCGACTATCAGATTATGCAAGAAAATTTGCGGTTGGACTGTTTCCTTTGAGGCAAATAAGTAAAACATCACCAAAAAAATGAAGTCGGTCTAGCCTCGACTCGAACAAAGGTACCTCCTCCAACACTGTTATTATTTAGGACGTGTTACCGCTACACCACCAGACCATGCCTTACGGTAAGCTTCCGTGGCTGAACTCCGATCCATCCGGGTTCAAATAAATAACTTACACTGAAGCTGACAAAAAAGGAAGGCTCGGCCTTGGATCGAACAAGGGATTTCCTCATATCGAAATAACAAGATCTTGGAAAACAAGAGAGAGCATGTTACCAGCTACACCATCGGACCTCAAGTTTCTTTCTAATTTAGCGATTGAACCTATGCATTTAGACTCAAGAAGCTGGCAAAATGAACGAAAGGCCTGACCTTGATTCGAACAAGGGATTTCTTCGTACCTTCAAAGGCAGAGAGATATGAAAAGAGGACGTGTTACCAGTTACACCACCGGGCCTTACATTGTGCTGATTTCGTTAATGAGTCGGAGGATCACTTACATACAAGTGGGCAATGCGCCTCGACAGAGTGGAGTGTGGATGGATTACATTAAATACATGTACATGGGGAGGAATGAAAACGACGCTACCGCCATATGCGGTGGATGTCCCTTTCGGCTTCAGCTTCACCATCTCATTCCCCCTCCCCATCCCTCTTCTTCCGAATCATCTCCAAAATGCCCTTCACGCCCTCCAAGTCGCCGACCGCCGCGCGCCCCGCATGCCAGTCCACGACGACCGGCCACTTGAGCGCGTTCGGGTTGCTCTGCCCCAGGCGCGCGACGCCCGCGGCGCTCTTTACGTCGCCAGCGGTGGCGCCGGCGGGGTGCGCGGAAAGAAACACGTCGAGGGCCGGCGACTCGGACGAAGAAGAAGGGTGCTTGGAGGGCAGGTACGAGAGGATCGTCGTGAGCTGGTCGGGCGTCGGCGGGCCCTCAACGATTTCGAGGTTGAATGTGAGTGGCGGCGCGCCGGCCGTGCGGGGCGGGTACGATGCGGAGAGCGCTGAGCGCAGGAGGCCCAGCGCCTGGGGGTATTACATTAGCTTGTTGCCATAAACATCAAATAAAACGCGCCTTGACGGACGGCGGGGACGCGGGGTGGTGGCTAGAGAATAATGAGAATCAGATGATGGCAAAATCGGGTGGTTATTATTGAATTGGTGGCCCTACAATATCGAGATCTCCGGCTAGAATGCATATGCTGATTCAAGACGGGGCAGGCTAGAATCCGAGCGTTTCACGCACCAGGGATCGTGTAAAGCCGGAAAACATGTTGTGGGAGGAAAGAGAGCGGAATGGGAGGGTCCAGCCAAACAAGTGCAACCGTGACTCGGACGTCAATCTCTCACTTGTCTTCATTTTTGTCGGAATCTCGCTGCTTCTGGTGGTACCAAATTTCAAGCGGTGTCCGCAGGTGCATTATATTTCCTCACCTTATTCCGGATTTTTCTGCGCATAGTCTGGAGCGTGCCAGCCAAGTACAAGCACCTTTCTTTTCTCGCGACATCTGAGACGCGTTTTGCGTCCACCGGCACTACCAATGTCAAGCCAGGGTACCCATTCTTCTACCAGGGCTCTTTAATGTGCCCATGGTCCCGAGTTTTGGGTTGCCAGAGGCGATTTTTAGCAATTGCGAGGCTTTGCAAAGTGACGAGAAGATAGCTAACCAGCTCTGAATTGGTGCTCGACGTGGAACTTCAGCAAGGTCGTGGCCATGGCATCTCTTCATATTCTTGCGAACCTATCCATCCTCTACGCTGCCTTGATACTTCCTACCCTTGGCAAAGGAACTATTTCTCTGCCGAGGCTGCTTACTGTGGCTACCGGCTCGACTTTGGCAGCTACGCGATTTTTCTTCGCATTCGGGACCGCAGTGATGAGTCTTGGTAAAGGGTATATCTCTCTGCCTTGGTGCTCGTCATAGAATTCAGGGATGGCATGACCACAAAAGCTCGTCGTATTTTTGCGCGGGTCTATCAATCCTTTGTGCTCCCCGTACGCGTGCTCCCAACGACGCTTCTCTTCTCTTGTTCCATATTCTCCTTATCCCCTCCCTCCTCCCCTCCCACGCTAACACATTGTCTCCACATCTAGGTATCTAATGCTCTCCTACATAGCCCGCCGCCGCCTCTTCAGCACCTCCACCCGCGCCCGGCACGAAAACCCCCTCGTGAGCACCACCCTTCCTTCTTTCTCCACGATTTCTTCCTCTCACACCGGACCTCACAGGGCCTCCCCCTCAGCAACGCCCCCCCGCAGATGCCACGCCGCGGCCCCATAAAGAAACGCCCGATCCCGCACGTGCGGTGCGTGCTAGCGGTCGCGAGCGGCAAGGGCGGCGTCGGAAAGAGCACGCTCGCGGTCAATCTCGCATTTGCGCTGAGCACGCTGGACCCGCGCGACGTGGTCGCAGGGCATCCCCTGCGCGCCGCGGGCCCCCAAGATACCCTGCGCACGCCGCGTGACCAGCTGCCCCATCGCCTGCGCGTGGGCGTACTGGATCTCGACGTATTTGGGCCGTCGGTCCCAACGCTGCTCGGGCTCACGGGGGCGGCGGAGCCGTTACTCACCGATGGTGCGTCTGTTTTTTATTACTCTTTGCTACTTACAAATTAACTCATCCGCTGTTATAGCCGGCGCGCTCGTCCCGCTGATCAACCACGGCCTGCCCTGCATGTCCATGGGCTTCCTCCTCCCGCGCTCCGAAAACACGGACCCCTGCTCGTCCAGTACCGACTCCGACATGCCTAGCAACACGGACACGCCCGTCGTCTGGCGCGGGCTGATGGTGCAAAAGGCCGTGCAGCAGCTGCTGTTCGACGTCGATTGGCGCGACGCGCGCGGGGCGGGGCTCGACGTGCTCGTGGTGGACATGCCGCCCGGCACGGGCGACGTGCCGCTCACGCTTGCGCAGCTGGTTGCTGTGGACGGTGCGTCTCTACCATAGCTACAAGCCCCTTTCCTCCACCTCACGCCTGATCTTTGTCTTCCTTTTCCCGACGCCGATACTAACGGACATGTACAGGCGCGGTAATCGTGTCCACCCCGCAGGACGTCGCGCTGTCGGACGTGCGCAAGGGCATCGCGATGCTGCGCAAGGTCTCTGTTCCTGTGCGTCCTTCCCTTTCCCCTCTCATTCACGCACTGACTGTGACTCTACACACAGATAACAGGCATTGTCCTCAACCAAGCCTCCTTCACCTGCCGCAACTGCTCCACGGAGCACTACCCCTTCGGGCGGCCGACCACCTTCCTGCACACCGCCGCGCGCCTCGGGCTGGAGGTGCTCGCGCAGCTGCCGCTCGTGCAGGAGGTGGGCGCGTGCAGCGACGCGGGCGTGCCGTATGCGCTGTCCGAGGCGCCCGATGAGGTGTGGATGTCAGAGATGCAGTGGGCGGCGGAGCGGGTGTGCGCGGCGATTATCTGATTGGATTGGATCGGTGCGATTCGAAGTGGTCGGCGATGTTGGCCCAGTGGCGGGATATTCGAGTATTCGTTCATTCATTCGATGGTTACACCACACGCGCTACTACCCCCTGCGCCACCTGCTCGCGCTTCCGCTGCTCCCGTCTCCGCTTCGCGTCCCAGATGTACGCGCGCGCGGTGTTGACCTCCACGACTGTGATCTGCAGGCTCGCCTCAGCCTCGTGCAGCTTCGCTTGTAGCAGTGCGATTGCGGCGGGAGAGCATCACGTTGGCCTGGGCCGCAATAACATTGCCATTGATAACGATAATGATAATACGGCGAGCAGGAGGCGCACCCCAAGCCAAAGGAAGGGTCCGCGAGCTCCGCCTCGACCTACGGCCTGTGTAGGTCGAATGTCGTTAGCGGCTTTGCGGAGCCTGCACGACCACACCAGTGCAAGCTATTATATATTACACCCCAAGCCATTTTTTCTTTCATTCAACTAAACGCATAAATGTGGCGAAAACAATTGAGCATAAGACGGCTGTTTTGTATTCCACTGCAAGAAAAAGACAAACAATCACAGAAGATACCTTGGACTTAGAGTTGCTGCCGCCGCCGCTTCCAGGGAATGTTATTGCGCAAATATCGGTCGTCAGACTGATCCCGCATGCCCGGCGGTCGACCCCTCTCGTCCACCATTTGTCTAACACGATTCAGAAGAGTAGAGATCTCCATCGCCGTTTCGGGCGGTGTGTTTGACGCTGCCGATTGCGCTAGCGTATAGTTTAATGCGAATTGCCACCAGTCGTCCGCATCGGCTCGTGAGACTGACGCGGCGGCGAGCAGCCAGGCCACGTCTTGATTGGTGAACGGCGGCGGATGAGGAAGGGTGGGTGGAGATAACCAGGACGATACCCCCCGCAACCCCATCACATCCAGCAGACGGCTGTACTCTCTGGGCACCACCAACAGTCGAATGACGACCCGAAGGAGCTTCTGGTGGCGACTGCTAGAGACTATAGCCATGACCCTATGAAGTCCACGCACATCGCGCAGATCAACAATCCAATCGGGGCCTTGAATTGGCACACCCCTGATATTTTGGACCTCGTTGAATTGCATCCACTGTGCAAGCAGCTCGGGGGGCTCCTTCCACGACGGCTTTTTCATGTTCATCCAGTTGTCGTGTTGGATGTCAGCCGATGTGGGCAAAAAGGTAGGAGTGATTGGGGCATCGAGAGGGATCCTAGACACGGCCGCGGTTGAGCTGAACACTGCACGGCGCTTTCGAGGCCGCAAGTCGTCCTGTAGAAGAAGCTGATGATCCTGTGTTTCCTTCGCCAATCCTTTATAGGAAGCAATCTCAGCGGTCATCCGCTCTATCGTCGCCTGCCCTTCTCGGACTTGAGCCTCCAACTGCTCCAGCTGCTTGAGTATTTTTCCTTGCTCCGCTTTCATATCGGCGACGTGGGCTTTGGCGACGGCCGCCTCCGTTTTCGCGTCACAGAGCTCGTCCCGCAGTTGTCGCGCCGTTTCGTGTTGAGCATTGATCATCTCGTTCGCAGTTGCGAGCTTCGCCTGAAGTTTAGAAAGCTCCGCGGTGTGCTTGCCCTTTCTTTTGGCCTCCATTTGACGCGCTGCACTCTGTTGGATGTGTAAATCGCGCAGCCGTAATAACGCCTGCAGCGTGCCATTGTCCTCCACTTGAAAGCGAACGAGATGGTCAAGGAATGCATCACAAATCGCACATGGCTCCTGCGATGCGTCGCGATCACGAGTTGCCGTCCCCACTAACCGTCCAGCGTATCTCTCACTCGAAGTTTTTAATAGCTGCTCTGCAATCTTGCACTGCTGCTCCTCCGAGTCGGGTGCACCGGTTGAACTCGAGGGGAAATTCGAGTTGTTCGCGTCGTTCCCCAGGACCGACCGACACAGTGGAATGCCGAAAGATGTGTGTATCCCAAGGGGTCCAGCCTGTAAGTAGGTTTCCAGGAGGCTTACTTGCGCCCATGCGTCCAGGTCCAGATCGTCATCACTTTGGCTTTGG